GCTATGGTCTGGGAAAGCAGTAGAAGATGGCCCGGGCTGAAACTGTGGCGCAGTGGGTTAATGCCCTGGCCTGAAGTGCTGGCATCCCTTATGGGTGCCCGTTCGAGATCCAGCTCTCTGCTATGGCCTGGGAAAGCAGTAGAAGATGGCTCAAGTCCTTGGACCCCTGTACCCACATGGGAGACCCGGAAGAAGCTCCTGGCTCCTGGCTTTTGGCTTCAGATGCAGTCAATTGGGGAGTGAACCAGCGGATGGGAGACCTCTCTCTCGCTCTCTTTCTTTCTCTCTCTGCCTCTCCTCTCTATATAACTCTGATTTGCAAATAAATAAATACATCTTAAAAAAAAAAAGGTGGCCCAATTTTGGCCAATTGGGGAGTGAACCAGCGGATGAAAGACCTCCCTCCCTGCCCCCGCCACCTCTTCTTCTTTCTCTGTGTAACTCTGACTTTCAAATAAATAAATGAATCTTTTTATAAAAAGTGTGTGTTTTTAAATTTATTTACCTGTTTATTTCAGAGACATGAAGCAAGAGCTACCATCTGTTGTTTTAATCCCCAAATGCCCACAACAGCTGGCCGGGTGCTGGGCTGGGGCCATGTGGTGTATTTTAAATGCTTATAAATAGTGCTTTCTGGGGCCTGTACTGTGGTGTAGCTGGTTAAAGCCCTGGCCTAAAGTGCCCGCATCCCATACATGTGCTGGTTCAAGAACTGGCTGCTCCATTTCCAATCTGGCTCTCTGCTATGGCCTGGAAAAGCAGTGGAAGATGGTCCAAGTGCTTAGGCCACTGCACCCACGTGGGAGACTTGGAAGAAGCTCCTGGCTCCTGTCTTTGGATTAGCCCAGCTCTGGTCGTTGCGGCAATTTGGGGAGCGAACCAGCAGATAGAAGACCTCTCTCGGCCTTGGCCTCTCTGTAACCCTACCTTTCAAATGAGAAAAATTGTTTTTAAAAATGTTTTCAATGCATCTTAAAATACAATGCTATATGCAATAATTGTGTTTTTCACAAGAAAATTATATAATTTATATAAAAATTTTAGTTCTTGGAGGGCTGGCGCTGTGGTGTAGTAGGTTAAGCTTCCACCTGTGGCGCTGGCATCCCATGCCGGCACCAGTTCAAATCATGGCTGCTTGACATTTCTTTTTTTTTTTTTATGATTTATTTATGGGGCTGGCACTGTGGCACAGTGGGTTAAAGCCTTCAGCGCTGGCATCCCATGTGGACACTGGTTTGAGTCCTGGATGTTCCACTTCCGATCCAGCTCCCTGCTAATGGCCTGGGAAAGCAGTGGAAGATGGCCCAAGTCCTTGGGCCCTTGCACCCACATGGGAGACCTGGAAGAAGCTCCTGGCTCCTGGCTTCGGATCTGCCCAGCTCCAGCCCTTGCGGCCATTTGAGGAATGAACCAGCAGATGGAAGACCTGTCTCTCTCTCTCTGTCTTTCCC